ATACAACTGAAGTAAGTGTTATGTTGTGTTTTAACAAGATTCTTTGGGATTAACACAAGATTTCTTCGAAAAATACCTTCGTTGTTTTCTCATAATGCAGTAAAACGACGCAATTGTGCTACGAACCTCGTATTTCTTGCTCATAATGCCGTACGATTTACGTCAATTCTGAATCACTCAACACCCTATGCTCCCGGTAACTCACGTTGTAATCTTTGTATTGAGGGGAAATTTTTATTATGAAATCAAACCATAAAAACTTGTTAAATAAGCGATCAGAACTGTTCAAGAAATGTCCCCACAATGACCGGTACAAACATAGGTAGCACAACAATCAGGTTTTTTGGTTTTTGATGAAACAGTCTCAATATATTTTAAATTAAAATATATTAATTGAATTAAAAAATGCGATTAAAAAATGAAAATATGCGAAGAGTTTTTGAAATTTGCCGTGTCCCGATGCGGGATGCCTGTTGCAAAACTCGTATACGCGATCCTATTGGTCATGCAGCTTTGACCGTTTTGTGATGACCAATAGGATCGCGTGTATTACTTTCATAGTTTAATGAGCGTAGCAGAGTCTAGTTCTGAAAACAACGAACCAATTGCTAGGCGAACGCGCTCTCATAACATAATTTCTCTAGGGTTGGACCACTGAGCTATATAATAATTCCTGGAGGACCGGCTCCTGTCAAAAAAGTGAAGCCACTAAGATGGCGGATTTTGAGCTTTGCTGACGCCACATGGTTCCTTTTGCTCATGGTAGTTACCACTGACATACCGCGATACAAGGTGAAAAACTGTGTCCATCACCCTCCCGATTTTTATGAAAATATTTTCAGCTTTCCGTATATATTTTTTTGTTTTTCATATAAAAAGGATAAAAGTGTTTCTCTTTTTCCCTGTTCAACAAATGGAAAGGACACGTAGCTTCGTGCTCTGCGTCTGACGTTGTGAATGGCTTAATTCACCTATCGGTAGAGTGAATTTTCTCATTTTGCTCTTATTTTATCTTTTTTAACATCCAGGTAAGCCGTTTTTCAACTTTTTTTACTATAAATTTTTTGGCCTTTCGAGTTTGGAATATAGTATAAACTGATTACCAAAGCCTCTGAGACAATAAATCCATCAAAACGTGTGGTACAAGCAGCAAAGATACTATTTTCGCCTTTTGGTACATTACAGTGCTGTCAGTGCAATGTTATATACCCAAATTTTATCATTTTTTCTTAACTTGTGTGGGGAAAAATTAAATTCCTGGCACTGTCAATCTTTTGAGTTTGGTCTATGTTGTTTTCATGATAGCAAATATCAATGTTAATAGGTTAACCATTTCCCCAGTGAGTCTACTATAGTCACACTTCTATTGATGCCACCCAACATCAATTAACATGATCTGAGGGTGCTGATACAGAATGATAAGATGCTGTAAACAGTGTAAATTAATTCCACCCTCTGATAGTGAGCCCTGTTAAAGCCTAGTTAATATATTATCTTTTTTACCTTGTCAAATCCAAAGTGAAATGATCAATTATCACAGCTTTTAATTTATTTTTTAGCTTCTTGCACCTTGTGAATAAATCTTGATCATATCTCCATTTTTATTTTTCAGGATGAAGTTCATGCATTTTATGACTGTGCATTGTTATTCTTCATTACCATGTTATCTGATTTTGTTGTTTGCTGGTGTTTTTATACCATTTGTCATATTTATTTATGAATGAAATAAAAATAAACATGCATTGACTGAGCAGTGTGTTTTCAATCTGCAGCAACTTTTATAACTTTCTGTTTATGGTATCAACCTCCAAGAGGGCTATATTCATTAGGCTAATCAGGAGCCTATGGAGGGATAAATGTTATTCTTTACTATGACCAGGGGTCCAGGGATGCAATTAGAGAATGCTGAAAACTTTTATAGCCTATAAAGGTACAAGTTGATGACTTGAATGAAAAGTATATTATGCAAATATGATTCTTGGTTGAAGCTATATTCCTGCACTTAGTATTAGTCAGCTGCCCAGCATTTTGCCTGAACTTTGGATTTTGTATTGTGCATAGATATAAAGTCTTGAAGACAACATCACATACTGAATACTGATTACATACTTCCTGCAATTCATCAGTTAAGTTTAGGGTTTAGAAAGTCAAATTTGTTGCCCATAAATTCCTAGTTGTCTTCAAAATATGCGAGGATAGTGCCAAAACATTCAAACATTTGTAAACTTTCATGTTGGAAAGTATAAATAACAAAATTATTTATTACGAAAATAAAATAATAAACCTGTCAGTTCGTGTCAGTAAAATCAATCTTTGTCCACATTTTTCCATATTTTAATATATATTTGTTCCCGCACTGGCAAAAACAGCGTGTATGACTTGTATTCATCTTAAAATAAAACTTTATTGTATGTCAGGGCGAAAAATATCAAAAAAACAACCTAAAAACATTTCAAAAACAAAAATATTTCATGATCACGGCAAAAAAATATAAAAACCAGGGGGGAGAATTGTTATTTACAAAATCCAGGGGGGAGAATGCTGCTGTAGCGGGCTCAGAATTGAGCCTGGTCAGTGGTAAATACCATGGTCAAAAGGAACCATGTGGCGTCAGCAGAGCTTCTGCGGTTGCGCAGAAGGGTGAAATCCGCCATATTGGTGGCTTCAAAAAGATGGCGGCGAAGTTACCGAAAAATGACGAGCCGGTCCTCCAGGAATTATTATATAGCTCAGTGGGTTGGACCCTGCGCGTTGGTGTACACCTCGGGGAGCTAGGGAACGAACCTTCTGAAATTTCAAACACTTCTGATTCAAATACTTCTCTTTCTTCATTGGCCTACACAGAAACAGAATTTCCTGCTTTCCTCAGGGACCCAATAATAGAAGGAAGGAAGCCCAAGCCCTACCACAGGGTCTTCCTGAATTACTACAAGAAATGACCGACAGACTACATGAACAACGAAATCAAGTTGTAGGGGCGCCTCCCAGAGCTAGTGGCCTTCCACCCCCAGTTTTTCGTGGTTCCCCAACTGAGGATTACGACGAGTGGTTACAAAAATTTAACAGATATGCTACGCTTAATGGGTCGACCCTTGAGCAACGGCTAAATGGGTTTATAATGTTTCTTGGTGGTAGCGCGCTACGCGTTTGTCAGCGGCAAACTGATAAAGTTCGCGCAGATTTCGAAGCGCTAAAAGAGGCTTTAAGGCAAGTATTTGTATCACCACACCAACAGTTCCTCCGGCGCCAAGAATTGAATAAACGCACGCAAGGCCGGGTAGAGCCGCTCGAAAGTTATCTCGATGATGTTGACGCTGGAGCCGCGCGATTACAGCTCACAGATGCAGAAACAATGCAATGCTTTGTTCAAGGACTACGTCAGGATCTGAAAGAGCATGTTATTTTGCAATTGCCAGAAACCTATGCTGCTGCTGTTGATGCCGCGCGCTTAAAAAATTCGTTTTCTCACGTAACAAGTTCAGCTTTACCGGGTCCAAGTTCGCGTACCTTAACACCAATAGATTTTGTTTCATCGCATTCGACAGCACATGTCCAAACCACACGTAATACTCATAGCCATGCCGATCAGTCGCCGAATTACGTTACTCGCGAAGAATTTTTGCGAGGTTACAAAATCAATTTCAGACCACACAGCCGATTGCAAGACAGAGAGTTGGACCGTTACAACCAGTTGCAAACTCTTATTATAATGCAAGAAATCGACGGACCACCGATGGTCGACCAATTTGCAATCGTTGCAATAGAGTAGGGTATATTGCAAATCGTTGTTTTGTAAATTTAAACCGTTCAAGTCATTCACAAGGCCGTACAAATTTTAATCCACCTAGGAACTCATTATTTCAACCACAGCGTAGTCACTACTATACACCGGGGCAAACCGTAAGAAATCATTTCAATCCTGAAACTAACCCGAGATCAAATACCTATGTAGGGAGGTCTACACGTTTTCCAGCATTCCCATAGCAAGAAAGCGCACATACATCTAGTCCATATCATAATAAACCTTGTTTTCTCTTCGCACGAAAACGCCCTGCTCAAAACAATATATGTGCCTACCCAGAACTTCGGAAAACTATCTAACTGTAATTGGGAATATCGAAAACTTTGATGCTAATATATTCTTATTGATACGGGTTCTGCTATTACAGTAATTAATCAAGCTTTTTGGAATAAAATTCGACGACTGAAATTGATATTAGGAACATCCAGACAATGTAAAACAGCGCAAACCGCAAGTGGCGAAATAGTTCAGGTTTTAGGAGATGTCAATTTGGAATTCTATTTAGGCAACGCTAGTTATATGGTAAAAACATGTGTTTTACCAAAGCTTCATTATATGGCTATTTTAGGGAAGGATTTTCTTGAGCGTTTTGATTGTATCATAGATTTTAAATCTGGTTATCTCATGCAAAATTGATCGTGATAATCTGGTTATGCTTAATACACCTATAGTACGCGTCAAGACTAGCAACCATGAGCCTACAATCGAAACGGAAGAAATAGCAGATCCATTACCGTTTGCAGATATAGAACCTGAAATTCATGGTAATCCAGAATATACCATTTATGCGGCTGACACTCACGTTATTCCTCCAAATTCCGAATGTATTATTCCAGTGACATTTAAGGTCACTATTATATTACTGAAACAATCGGTTTGATAGAGGCCAATGCAAATTTACCGCGGCGATTTAATGTTTGTGGCGCCGCCGCGCTTGTGTGTGTATATCTTCAGCAGGTCTGGTCCCCTTTCGGTTGGTAAACCCTACTGAAAAACCGGTTAAAATTTATAGATATACTACACTGGGAACGTTTTTCAAACAAAGTGAGATTAACAATATTATGTCCTTATCAGCGGAACAAACATGTAATCCTTTACTCACTAAACAGAATACTAATCTTCCGACTGAACAAACAGGTCAATTTGAACTCGATATTTCACCAGACTTAGCAACTGATCAACTGAATATATGACATGGTTTTTTATCGGATAATGCGGATATCTTTTCACAAAGTACACATGATTTAGGTCGAACATCCATCGTTAAACACCAAATTTTTACTGATGGTTCTCCACCTATACGACAGAGACCATATCGTACTGCACCAACACAACGTGAAACTATAACAGAACACATCCAGACAATGCTTGAGGCCAACATTATTGAACCTTCAGTTAGCCCATGGGCGAGTCCAGTAGTGCTCGTAAAGAAAAAAGACGGTTCAACTCGTTTTTGTGTCGATTACAGAAAACTGAATGCTGTAACTGTTACGCAAGGCTTCATTTCATAGTGATTGAGATACGCATATAAAAATAGCCATAAAAATAGAAGTAGCAAGAGCATGACAGAGATTAGTGATTAATTTTTGCCACAAGATGCCTGAGTAAATATAATTTCGGCCCATTCGCAATCATTAATCACATTTCCTTTCATGCATGACATTTCGTGGGATTGAATAAAGTAGTAAAGTGAAAATATCAATCATCCTGTCAGAACGTGCGCATCTGGATCAACAGTCGTATGTCGTTGCCAAGTTTAACTGTCATAATTGAAAATATGTATGCTTTAGGCAGCTGCGAAGCTCTTATGTCAATCAAATGTGTTTTTTATAATGCGCGGTCGAGCATTTTAAGGGTTACGTCAGAGAAGGTTTAAATCGATTAAAGTGGTAGTATAAATAGTTAAGTTATAGAATAAGGCTCACGGAAACAATGTTTGATAATTTTAATGCTTGCTGACGATAAATATTTTAAGTTGTGAACATTTTTAAGTAATGATCGATTGAGCAGAAGACCAACTCGACTAGTGCGACAACGCCTTAAACAAACAAGATATGAGAGCTGGAACGAGCTTCTAAGACCAACCCACATTTCTAACTAACAACGCTGATTGGTTGGATAAGGATCAGCCCACTCTGGTTGATGACGTTTACAGTTGTCCCTCAAAAGTGACTATAAAAGGGCGTGCACAACACCCCAACCTTCAGTGGACTAGCTTAGTAAAAAGCATATGAAACGTTAGGAAGCTCAACCTTACAGGACAGACAATCAAGACCAGAACTCAAAAAACGACGAAGATCAGAAGATCAAGTGAAGAGTAGAGAATCCAGAAAAGAAACTGAACATTATCGAACTGTAGTAAAACCTTGTAAAAGATCTCCTACCTCGTGCATAGAAGAATAAAAAACTTTATAACATAACAAAAAAGGATTCTTACCCTTTACCACATATTCAAGAATCTTTGGACTTATTAGGCCAAACACAATTCTTTACCACCTTAGATTTGTTTTCTGGATTTTGGCAGGTAGAAATGGACGAATCGTCCAAAGAAATAACAGCATTCACCACTTATGACGGCCTATATCAATTCAATGTACTTCCCTTCGGATTATGTAACGCACCATCTACGTTTCAGCGATTGGTGGAAAATGTGCTACGCGGATTGAGTTGGAAAATATGTCTAATATACATCGATGACATAATTATATTCTCCCATTCCTTTCAGGAACATTTACAACATTTGAATTTGGTATTTTCGCGCCTTAGACAAGCAAACATTAAACTTAAGTCTACTAAAAAGCCATTTTGCATTTCCTAAAGTCAAACACTTGGGACACATAGTTTCGCGAGAAGGAATTCAGCCAGATCCAGATAAGAATCATAAGATTAGTGCAGTAAAAGACTTTCTTGTGCCAAAAAAGGTTAAGGATGTGTGTAGTTTTCTCGGCCTAGCGAACTATTATCGTCGTTTTGTGAAGGATTTTTCCAAAATTGCCAAACCGCTTACGCAATTACTCCACAAAAACGTAAAATTCGAGTGGACGGATGCGTGTCAAACGGCGTTCGATATTTTGAAGAGAGCAATAATATCAGCTCCAATTTGGTGTTACCCTGACTTCACAAAACAATTCGATTTATAAGTAGATGCAAGTTTGGATGGATTAGGAATGACCCTATGTCAAACTCAAAATAACCGGGAAGTTGTGATAGCATATGCTGGTCGTAGATTAAATTCGGCCGAGCTCTCATTCTGCTATAGAAAAAGAAGCTTTGGCGGTGATTGACGGTATGAAGAAATTTCAACCGTATTTGTATGGGCATAAGTTCACGGTGCACACAGATCATAACGCTTTAAAATGGCTTATGAGTGTCAAAGATGTCACCGGAAGATTAGCGCGATGGTCGTTATTTATCCAGCAATTTGATTTCGAAATAAAACATCGCCTAGGTATAGCCAATGGCAACGCAGACAGTCTTTCACGGCGTGCTTATTCTAGTACCTTAGCCGCTTTAAAACCTGTCTCTGCCGAGATGGCACGAATTCATGAAATGCAACAAAAAGACGCGGATTTGGCACCACATATCACATATCTCAAACCAAACTCCTCGCTTGACCTTTTAATTGAGAGGGTGTATATTCACATTAATATATACTGTAAAGACAGCCTTGCTTACAATAACTAAAAACCTCCCTAACGAAACCGAAACTAAACCCAACGCTACGGTCTATGCCACTGCATGCTCCCTGTAGCGTGCATTTCAAGAAAATAGTGCCACTAGCGACATCGAGCTGACCGCGTTGTAGATTGTAAACTTTCTATTCTCTCAATTGTTAAACGTTGGCATATTATATGGTGCATGTATATTCAACCGTAGACATTGTCGCATCGTTCTGGGCCATGCAAAAAATGTTGTAATGAAAAAATTGAAAAAGTAGGTTTGGCAGTTGAACCACCACGAAAGTCACGACGTAGAGAAAGTGCCGATTCTTCGACTTCATCGAGAGCTAGAACTGTTGGAATTTTACCTAAAATGTGCATCATATGCAAAAAGAAATACCTTTTTTACAACGACAAGGTAAAACTAATCTGTTTTCGACTTTTATATGACTATCATATTTATTGCATATGAGAATGGATGACTATTTGATCTAAAAACGTTTTTGCGTTGCCGTTGTTTTTTTCGAAATTATTCAAAGTCGGAAAAAAAATTTGTAAGCTAAACTTTATATCTTTTTAGTAGAGTTATACAGTATACTACAGCAAATGTTGTAATTTGATAGGCTACTCTAGTCGCTATCTATTCTTTAGTGCATTTTAGTATATTTTGGAATATTTCACCCTCAACTGAAACAATTAGGTTTCCCACTCGAATACAATGGGGTGACTGTTAACTCGGGCTTCAAGCTCAATTATCAACTATCACAAATTTAAAAATCTCGAGCTCATAATCTAATTGTTAAAAAGCGCCAGGACCGTAGCTAGACCCTTTAATTGAGGGGGTGTATATTCATATATTCATGTTTATATACCGTTAAGGAACAATAGCGTACAAAAGAAATCATTCGAGCATAAGACGAATATACAGGGTGTATCAAAAAAAAGGAGACCTTTAGAAATCAAGCTATTGTTAAAATTTGAATGCCTTTTCAATTGCATTTGCACATATGCTGAACCGTAGTGCATGAAATATGGATGGCATGCATGCATACATTAGAAAATGAATTGACGTTTGTACACAAGATTGTCTGCTCCTGGGAATTTGAAAATAGCTTTAATAGCATAAGGAAAAATAACGACCCAAAAATATTCAAATGACTAAGCACACTACCAGTACAAAAATGGTTCAACTGACTTCGGAGCAAAGAGTTTTTGCAGTCTTAACTTATACCCAGCCTGCCGTCATCAGAAAAGCAGTTCGCGATATGCACAAGCGTACGGTAGTTTGTGTTGAGAGAAATGGAGGCCACGTTGGAGGTCATGGTCCATGACATTCAGTTCTTTTGATGTTCAATTTATCAGTAATTTTCAATCCGGATCGAAATGTCAAGTATCTGTGTCAGATCAAGTTACATTTTAATAGGCAGAGTTTGTAAAACCGAATGCTGAGCCATTCCGGATTCAAAGTCAATTCTAACTCATGTGAACAACCCTAATACTCGCACGCAGTGTTAAAAATTAATGAACAAATATTTGTTCATGTTTTGAAGGAACAGCTAAAACAATACCACGCATACTGTTATCGCTTTTGTGCTTAGTCGTTTGTGCTTAGTCATTTGAATATTTTTGGGTCGTTATTTTTCCTTATGCTATTAAAGTTATTTTTAAATTCCCAGGAGCAGACAATCTTCTGTACAAACGTCAATTCATTTTCTAAAGGTCTCCTTTTTCTAATGTATGCATGCATGCCATCAATATTTCACGCTCTACGGTTTAGCATATCTGCAAATGCAATTGAAAACGCATTCAAATTTTAACAATAGCTTGATTTCTAAAGGTCTCCTTTTTTTGATACACCCTGTATATATGAATATTCATCCCCCGAATTAGGCTTCTAGCTACGGCCCTAAATAGCACCAGCTTTTAGAAGCCCTAAATCATATAGCAAAGTTAAACGAATATTTGCAGTGAGTAATAGACTGACAGGCTGTCGGTGGAATAGTCACGGGGTTCTTTTTTTAAGAAATCGAGAAAGAGAGTGCTTCAGGGGTTAACACAATGGGAAACAATTGATGCTGAGAAATTGCGAGAAGCAGCAGTAAAAAAAAAAGATGAGAGTATTCTGATTCATATTAAAGATAAGGACTGTGTGGCAATTGAAGTGTGCTATCATAGGACGTGCTACAAGAATTACACTCGTTTTCTTTCTTGCCAGACGTTGACAAATCGATGGATTCTGTCTACGACACCTCCTACAAATTATTCTGCAAGGAAATAATTGATGAACGAATATGCAAGAATGGTGAGATTTTCTTTCTGACGAAGTTGGTAAATATTTTTCGGAGCTATATCGATAAGTGTGGGGACCAAGAAGGTGAAGAAGGTTCAAGGTACAAAGCTTGTAACCTGAAGGACCGTCTTCAGAAGAGCCATCCGCATCTCGTTTTCCATATTCCAGGGAGAAGAAACAGAAGCACGATTGTTTTTGCTGAGGATCTTTCTGCAGGTTCTCTAGCAGAGCATTTGATGATGTCCGAGGAAGAGAGCTCTGAGGATGAAGATGACTATTCCGATGTTGAAGAAGAGAGGTACAGCGCTGGTAATTCTACGCGATATGCTGAAGAAAGTAATCATATCAAATTATACAGAACAGCTTATGTTTTAAAGAATATCATCAAGGATGTTCCTGTCTTCCATATTTGTTGACCTCCGACTGCAGATGATTTCAACAGAGAAAACGTTATTCAAACTGTTCCATCTGAACTGTTCAATTTCTTCTGCTGGATGCTTGGTCTGTCGCAAGAACCATTATCTGAATCTTTAAGGGGCTCAGTTGCTGAGAGTTATGGATGTAAAATTGATTCAATCGTCCAGGATTTAGTATATTTGTCCTCTAGAGGACAAAAACAAACTCCAAAGTCATTGTCACTTGGTATCTTGAGTAGGCAATTGACTGGATCTGCCGAAGTCATCAATGTTTTGAATTCTTTTGGCCACTGCGCATCTTACGACACAGTAATTCGCTATGAAACAGCTTTAGCAACCGTTCAATCTAACAAGCAATCTCTCGCTACAAGAGATATGATTAAGAATCAGCCCACAGTCTTGGTTTTTGACAATCAAAACTACAATGAAGAGACGAAGAGTGGTAAGGGTCAAACGCATATCGCTGCTGGTATTGCTGTGCAAAGGCAGCAATTGCACACCAATAGAAGAGAGCCAGAAGAAAATATCAGCAAAAGAAAGAGAAGCTTGGCCTTGCTAGAAGAGAGATTACCATACGAAGCAACAAGCAATCCCTCGAAGGCTAGATTTGGCGTTTGCATTATGTAAGTTGCAATCTGAAAATTCATCACCTTACTTGCCCAGTTGGACGGGATTCAATACGCTTGCACCCAGATGTTCCTGAAAGGTCTAAGATTAGCTATTCACCGATAATCGATAATCCTATTACAGAATGGTCGACAATAAATGAGATTTTACGTCAAAGTGTCATGATTGCGGATGAATTAGAAATACAGCAAGTGGTTCTGGTTGCAGACGAAGCTGTCTATGCAAAAATACAGTAAGTTCGGTGGAAAAGCGATATATACAACAACAGATGCATTGTTCGTCTTGGTGATTTCCTCACCATCATGTCATAATCAAGTTGCATCGGAAAGCGGTTCAAGAATTCCGGACTGGAGGTAATGTATCAAGCATCGTTAAACAATTTCTTATGATCTAATTAGTACATGCTAAGCATCACTACTAAATAATATTTTTTGTAAGAATGTCATTTTCATGTAATTTGATTTCCATTTCAGGATATCCTGATAATTTCTGGATTGGTGAGTTCTGGTTCGATTGACGGTGTAATGTCTGGAAAGCATTACAATAGGCCAGTGAGAGCTTTGAAAATAATGCTGGAAGCCATGGAACGTTTGAGGTTTCAGTCATTCATGAAGAGCAAGCCAAGAGTTGTCAGGTCGTTCAC